TGTGCAGCTGAAGTCAACCTCTGAGACAAGAAGCATAAATGAGCAAGCGTTCTTCATACAGGCAGACGATGGCGGACGTACGCCACCAGGATCAGAAGCAGTCACAGCCACGAAGCCCATGCAGCAGAGGTACGGCCAGAAGTCAAACGCAGAATTGGAAACGAAATTAGAAGCTGTGGTCAGTGCCCGCAGCGGGCGGAGGGCCGGATGCAAACAAAGTCTGCCCTCTCCGACTTCCAGGTCTCCGGCCAACCCTCATCCCCACGCCCACCACCTGCAAAAGCCCATCTCTTTTTCTGCTTACTGCTGGTGCCAATGTCCCAAAGCACAGCCCCACTAATTCTGGGCTTAAACGAGGGGGTTGGCTGTTAAGGGCGCTTGACTGATCCCAGTGCCCCGCCCATCGATCTGTCTATACGTACCACAACCGCTTCAACGCAGTCCAGAGAGGTTCCCAAGCCAAGCCCCCGTCAAGGCTCCAAAGAGGGGTTGCTGTCGCAAGTCCGACCGTTTGCAGGAAACACCAGAGATCCGAAGGCAAAGCCTCGTTGAAGGTTCCAAACAGGGGGATTGCGGCACATCCAAAAGCCACGGCCGGATGGGCTAACGCCGCTTCCGCCGACCCCGTAAAAGGCGCCAGGCTCCACCGACAGAGTAGCAGGGCAGGGGCTTTAGGGTTTAGGGTTCAGGGTCTAAGGTCGAAGTTAGGGTCTCGGGTTTCGTTTAGGGGTTCTGGTGACTTTTTGCGTTTTTTGTGGGGGGGCGGGGGCATAGGAGGGGGGTTTGGGGTGGGGGGGAGGGGGGGCGTGGACGTTGGCTGTAGGGGTTTGGGTGAAGGGCTGCCAAAAGCCGCGATGCAATGGGGGGGCATAGGGCGCGGGGGCGTGGGGTGGCTGGGAGGGGTGGGGGATGAAGGAGGGAGGTGGAGGGCGGTGTCAGGACAAAGAAGAACAAAGGGGGGGCGGTGGGGCGGGGCATGGGGGAAGGGGGGCGTGGGGATTTTTTTTGGAGGCTGGCTGGGCGGGGGCAGAGGTTTGAGTGAAGGGGTACTCCTCTACTACTCTCCTACTTTACTCTTCTACTCTTCTACTCTTCTTCTCCTCTACTTCTCTTCTCTCCACTCTACTACTCTACTACTCTACTACTCTACTACTCTACTACTCTACTACTCTACTACTCTACTACTCTACTACTCTACTACTCTACTACTCTACTACTCTACTACTCTACTACTCTACTACTCTACTACTCTACTACTCTACTACTCTACTACTCTACTACTCTACTACTCTACTACTCTACTACTCTACTACTCTACTACTCTACTACTCTACTACTCTACTACTCTACTTCTCTACTACTCTACTACTCTACTACTCTACTACTCTACTACTCTACTACTCTACTACTCTACTACTCTACTACTCTACTACTCTACTACTCTACTACTCTACTACTCTACTACTCTACTACTCTACTACTACTCTACTCTCTAACTCTACTACTCTACTATACTCTACTACTCTACTACTCTACTACTCTACTACTGTACTACTCTACTACTCTACTACTCCTCTACTACTCTACTACTCTACTACTCTACTACTCTTCTACTCTACTACTCTACTACTCTACTACTCTCCTACTCTACTACTCTACTACTCTACTACTCTCTACTCTACTACTCTACTACTCTACTACTCTACGACTCTACGACTCTACGACTCTACGACTCTACGACTCTACGACTCTACGACTCTACGACTCTACGAGACTCTACGACTCTACGACTCTACTACTCTACTACTCTACTACTCTACTACTCTACTACTCTACTACTCTACTACTCTACTACTACTTACTACTACTCTACTCACTACTACTACCTTACTAGTACTGTACTGTATGTACTACTGTACTACTGTACTACTGTACTACTGTCGTACTATACTACTGTCTACTACTGTAGTACTGATACTACTGTACTACTGTACTACTACTGTACTACTGTACTACTGTCTACTGATACTGTACTACTGTACTACTGTACTACTGTACTACTGTACTACTGTACTACTGTACTACTGTACTACTACTGTACTACTGTACTACTGTACTACTGTACTACTGTACTACTGTACTACGACTAACTACTACTACTTTATGACTCTGTACACTGTAATACTGTAGTGGCCATCAGGACAAAGAAGAACTTTAGCGTTTTTTTTTTTTGGGGGGGGGGGGGGGGCATAGGGGGGGAGGCATGGGGATGGGGGGGGCGGGAGGGGTGGGTGTTAGCCGGCTAAAGGCCAGGATCGCATTTGGGGTACAGGTGCCAAAAATCCGCGACCTGGGCAAGTTGTAAATCAGGAGAAAGAGGAACTTTAGCGCAAAAAGAACTTTAGCGTTTTGTTGGGGGGTGGCTGGGGGCGGGGCAGAGGGGGGGGGGGTAAGATGGACACTTAAAGGCTATGCTGCACGTGAGTGCCTTGTAAACAAATACTTTACAAAGGAACACCCGCAGAATAGACGCACGCACCCGCAGAATAGATGCAATGCACCCTTAGCATCAGCACACTGTGTCCTGCGGGGGGCGCGGGGGGCGCGGAGGGCGCGGAGGGCGCGGAGGGCGCGGAGGGCGCTGAGGGCGCGGAGGGTGCTGAGGGTGCTGAGGGCGCGGAGGGCGCGGAGGGCGCGGAGGGCGCGGAGCGCAACGTTACATCCCGCGCTGAACCCCTTGTCTTGTCCACGTGTCCCCCACTCCCCTGCCCATCAACCGAATGCCGCGCTCCCCCCTCCTTGTCCTCGCAACCCGTCCGTCAACCTGACATCCATGCATGGTCCACGCTTCCCCACACCACGCCCCTCCCAGCAAAATGTTCCGACCCCCATCCCTTGACCGTGTCGTCTCCGTCGCTCCCGTCAACATTCATTCCGTCAGACCCTCCTCCGTTGACCGTCTCCTCTTCGTGGCCTCCTTCGCCAGAAGGCGATCCGATAGAGCGCCTTCACGCGTTGAAGCGCCAAACAAGAACCCAATCTTGGAAGACTCCAAAGAAAACAAAGAGCACGCGCAGAATAGACGTTAAGCGTCCAAGGCACGGGGGGGGGGGGGGGGGGGGGGCATGCCGGGGTAGAGGGCCAGGAGGGCGGTCTGGTTTGTGGGGTGTCGGGGTTTGTGTGAAGGGTTACTGTGAAGGCGCCAAGAATGCCGCGACCAAACAACCATTGGTGGGGCTGGTCGGATTTGTGGGGTGCAGGGGTTTGGGGGCTAGCCGGGTAGCGGAAGGCTGCACAGGGAAGGCGCCAAAACTGCCGCGACCAAAGGGCTTCAAATCAGGATAAAGAAGAACTTTAGTTTTTTTTTGGGGGGGTGGCTGGGCGGGGGCAAGCTTGCCTTCCGACTTGCTGACTGCTCACGTGCCAGCGCCAATCTGAGACCAAACGCGTAAACATGTGTAAACGCTTTGCGCTGCTGCGTTGCGTTTACCCCAGCAAGTTGCATAGATGGCTTCCTTCTGCTCACACTATCTCACACTCAGGGGCGGAGTCGTACAGTGTTAGCTCAAGTTTCCATCATCATACCCTGAGTCGAAGCTGATTTTGTCCCTTTTTAAACAGCGGAAATTATATGAACTTAACGAGGAGGAGAGGCCCCGCAACTCCAGGTTGCACATCGCTTCATTTGGTCGTGTGCACGTGGGTTTTTTTCTGGGCACTGCAGTCAAGGCTCACATGAAGTGTTTTTTGTGGTTTCTGTGTCAACAACGCTGCTAGAGTTTGCAGCGATGTGGTGTTTGATCAACCATGTCAACCCGACATAACTGCAAAATTAGATCTCATAAGCATAAGAATATCTATATCATAATCATAGCACCAGCACCCGCACCACCACCACCGCCACCCCCACCACCACCACCACAACCCCCACCGCCACCCCCACCACCACCACCACCACCACAACCACCACCGCCACCACCACCACCACCACCACCACCATCACCACCACCATCACCACCATCACCACCCACACCCACGTGCTGCGTCATTATATGTCATTATTACACTCGCTGTTGTCCAACCTTTGTGCAAATACTCAGCAATATTTGACCTTCACGAGCGCTCATGAAGGCTGAAAAGGATTCATATTTCATGTTGTGTTTGAGTATGGTTGAGTGCAAATGTGAGCAGGTCAGGCTTTACATAGTTTTGCACTTTTGCACTGTTCAAAAAAGGCACGTTTGCAATCACATGTTTGCTGCAAGCAGTTCAGTTCAGTTGCTCAAAGTGCATATCCGCTGTGTTCAGTCTCGATGCGAGAGTAGCCGTTAACCGTTAACCCATCCGAAGTTTTTTTCCGCACGGCGAGGCTGCGCGACGCCTCGTTTCGTCACTCCTGGCCGCGAATTTCGAGGCACCAGCCACCTGCGTGCCCATCCATCTCTTACTTTGCAGTGTTTGCACTGGAGAGCCACTGAACAAGAGCCAACAGCAAAAATTCCCATAAGCTTCCACAGGGCTTCCTGCGCACAGCTCTCCGAGCCTGGCGGAAGGTGCAGGCAGTGGGGGGTCATTTATCGGAGATCCGTGTAGGATTTCGGGATATCTCGGCTTGATGTCGGATCTGTCGTGAATCGGCATCGGTCTTCTCACACAAGGTCGCTGTGGTCGCTGTGGCAGCTCTTGCCTTCCAGATTCCTAGAGAATCGTGATGCAAGGCGGAAGCAGCCCTCATGCGTGCAGAGCTGGATGGGACAAGGCAGGGAAAGAAGCATCAAGCAATATCGTGCGATGTCAAAGTTATCAGGCCGACTATGGTCAAAGCTTGGCGCGCATCGTAGAATATCATAGAATGTTCATCGAATCAAAAAGCTGCACGGGCCTGGAGAGACCTTTCTAAGGCTTCTCGCAGGCCTGGAAACATCTGGAAACCAGAAAGGACTTATATGGAGATATTGGATGCAGCCTCCAAGAATCTCCAAGACCGGGCCTCCACTGAGGGCCAGCGAGGCCGCGTCCCTGTCGAAGCTTCGGGAGGAGCTCCAGGATGCGAGGTGCGGTTCAGAGAGAAGGGAAGGGCTTGGGGATGTTTTTCGGTGACACTTCTCTTACTGTAGAGCATTTAGAGCACTGTAGAATCTGTAGAGTTGCGCAGTGCATTATGATGTGCTTTGACCACAGAAACAGAACGGAAGAAAGAGCCCCAGCCTCGCACAAAGGGCTGGTCGCAGCAAGCCGAGATGAAGCATGACGAAGCATGCGGCCCTTGACTAGCTTTGAAGGACTGGTCTTGATGAAGTACATAGCATACCCCGAAGAACCAAGCACTTGTCTCAGTCCACACGTACACTTACTTACCTAAAGATGTATTGTCTCCACTGTCTGGGCCTGGTTGCAAATGAAGTGTCGCAGTTTCCAAAACCTAAACAAATTCTTCATGACTCTTGGTGGCCAAGACTGTTGGAGAGTTGCTTTTCAAGGGTTCTTTGGTGCCAGCACTTCTGCAGTCGGGAAAGGCACGCGTTGTTGGCTGGTCCTGGTCATCGAGAGTTTTGCCCTGGGCTCCTTTCAACCACAAGATTACCAGAATCCGGTAGTTTATCTTCGGGTTCGTTTGAAGAGTCATCTCAGTCTGCGACATGGGAAGTTGACTTTTTTTGTTGCGGTAAGGCAAATCACTCATGTTCAGAAGTCGACGCGTTTCTTTCCCTAAGTGATGCACATGGCGATGCAAGCCTTCAATCTGCATCACGCATGGGTTTGTTTATGGTTTCGCTGTGTCAGAACGAACCCAGTCGCAAAAAGTTCCCGAACAGTCGTGGAACTACGAAAAGATGCGTATTGAGGGTGATCTCTGCGGTTAACCGAGAGGCAAGGTTTTGACAGTTGAGTTGAAAGTGACTCCAAACCACCAGGGCGACCATGTCTGTATACATATCATGTATATATATATATATATGTAAATGTATATATATATATATATATATATATATATATATATATATATATATATATATATATATATATATATATATATATATATACATACATATATGTACATATACTTAAATGTTTATATGTAGTATTTTGCTTGGATGTTCTCTAAAGATTTTATGCAATTACAAGGTTTTGAGAACAAACATGATATTGAAGCGGTGAGCCTGGGGTCTGATCGGGACATCTCTAGTATAGTTTGCTCGCGACCTCCGCGCTCGGCTTTGGGCTGAGCTTGGGGAACGCATTCAATGCACCCACCCGGACCCACCCAAGCACCCACCCAAGCAACAGCCCACCACAACCTCCGCCTCGTTCCCCCTCCGGCTATAATCCCAGGAACCAGAAACAGCATAGACAGAAGTGAGTATTTCATAAGGCAATGTCGACGGTCGTTATGGGTGGAGACAGCGTCCTCCAAACCACTCCGCCGTTGCTCCGTATTCCGTTGTTCCTTGCTACCTTGGCGGCTCCTGGCAACGGCACAAAGCCGTTTTCGGACAATTCATCCCGCCTGCGATTCGAAGTTTGGTGCATTTCGTTCCAAGCATTGTAAGAGGCTTCTCAGGAAAGGACATATTTCTGAAGCGCCCTTTCGCAAATCTTGGAGAAGAGAATCATCCCCACCACGCCTCCCACCACACGTGCCACACCCTCCCTGACCTCAACCCCGCCAAGCTCCACTTTTCTTCCCTTCTCTTTTCATCTCTTTTCTCCTCAAAAGCAATCACATAGGTTACATCGGTAGACTATGGTGACTATGGTAGACTGTGTGCAAAAGGTGTTGCTACTGCAAGGTTTGACAAGCAAGACAAGTGGTCGTGGCATGTTCTAATAGGGAATCTATCCACCACCTCCCACCCACACCCCGCACCATCCCGCGCCACTTCCACTACACGCCTACCAATCCGCAACAAGGATGCTTGCAAGGGATATGAAATGATATGAAATTCATTACAATTCAGGGTGTTGCTTTGATGAAGTGATTTTGGATTCAGGCTTTCTGACATTATCGGTTGGAGTCCACCTCTTCGTCCACCCTGCAACACGGCAGGTCCCACATGCTCTCCGAAGCAGAAGCCGCCATCAAAGCGCAGGAGGCGCGCAGTATGCGCAGGATTTCCGTGAGATCTCTTTTCGGGGCCTAGTACGTGCACAAACATGCACCCCCCAAGCAATGACGTCGATGATGCAGGCGAGTACCCATTCGAAATGGTTCTGGGTGGTCTGAGTGCCGCCTATTTCTGGTAGTCAGTGGGAGGGAGAGGGGGACAAGAAAAGATACCGGCATCAGATTGGGCACTCACATGCATGCGTTCAACTTCGTCATGAGACCTTGCATCCCTCCACTACACACGAGAGTCACGATAGAGAATCGAGAAAGGTGCGGGTGCCTTTTGCTACCCTGAAATCCTCCTAGCCTGTCCGAGACTCGATTGATTCCCAAAGTTCGCAACTCCAACAACCGGGCCTCAGTAGGCCCAAATCCCTACTTTTTCCCTTAAGTTTTGGACTTGTAAAGTAAAATAACTAACGTCATGTTATGTCGTGTCCTTTATGTGCTCCCGAAGTGATCCCAAACAATGATGCCAGAACGGGTGCGCTCGGGATCGTAACAAGCGTTCCAAGCAAAATAGGTAAGGCTTACAACTAATACTGGAACTGGGGATCCTAAATCCATGTGCCTCAAGAAGCTCAACGCCCCTCCAAAATCTTGAGCCTTCCCAAACTCAATGAAAACCCAAACGTCCCCAAACTAGAACCACCCAACCCCTCACAAGCCTATGAGTGACATCTCAGGGGTCCTATGGGTCCTGAAGCACACGGCTTGAAACATCTTAACACTGTACGACAAACATCTCAGATGCTGACGACGTTGTCTCACGAGCCCGTGCAGAGCTGGAGGCGCTTGTTGGAGGTTTGGGAGTTCAGTGGAGGGCTGCATCTACTGGTCTGTGGGAAGAAGCCTCGGAGATGTTGATCCAGATGCTTGAGGCACGAGCTCTCGGAGATGTTCATGGCTCGCAGGGAGCAGGCTACGTGGGCCTGAAAGAATCTGCCTGGAGAATATGTCTGATGGATGCTGTCATTGAATCATTGAGTCACAGACGAAACACCTTCCAAAAACAGCTCGTGAAGCTAGCGTTAGTGCTAGTGTTAGTGTTCGTGTTAGTAGCATTAGTAGTAGTAGTAGTAGTAGTAGTAGTAGTAGTAGTAGTAGTAGTAGTAGTAGTAGCAGTAGTAGTAGTAGAAGTAGTAGTTATAATTAGTCGTAGTTAGTCGTAGTCAGTCGTAGTTAGTCGTAGTTAGTCGTAGTTAGTCGTAGTTGGCCGTAGTTGGTCGTAGTCAGTCGTAGTCAGTAGTAGCTAGTAGTAGCTAGTAGTAGTTAGTAGTAGTTAGTAGTAGTTAGTAGTAGTTAGTAGTAGTTAGTAGTAGTTAGTAGTAGTTAGTAGTAGTTAGTAGAAGTTAGTAGTAGTTAGTAGTAGTTCGTAGTAGGTAGTAGTAGGTAGCCAGTAGGTAGTGGTAGTGGTAGTAGTAGTAGTAGTAGTAGTAGCAGCAGCAGCAGCAGCCGCAGTAGCCGTAGTAGCAGTAGCAGCAGCAGCCGCCTGGTAGTTTGCCCCTGTTCTGCCACCCTGCCTCGGAAACTTTGTGCATCAACCCAAAACCCCTCAAACCACATTACTTAGCACCTCGGAATAGTGGTCCAGTAGAGTGATAGAAACAGTAGTGGTAAGACACTCTAAGCCGTAATGGCAATTACTGGCATTGCTACCGAAGTTCTTATCACAGCGACGAACGCTACTGTGATCATCTTGCTGCCTGTGCGAATCGCATTGTTGTTTTGAGGGGGAAATTGCGGGGGCCGGATCTGGGCCCGGGGGGGGTAGGAGGGATTGCTGCGAGAGGGGATGCACTACATAAGAACTTTCACATGAAGGCCAAGGCCATTTAAGCACATGTTCCGAGGCTCGAAGCGGACTAAAACTGATGCGAGACGGCCAACATCCACCAGTATTCCACCATGTCCAGGCCCCACCCAACCCCTCAAACGAGGCGGCGCGGCGCCTTGTTTCCTCACTCTTGGCCTCCAGCTTTGAGGCCCAACAGTTCGGCCTTTCGAGATGGCTTCATGATGCCGGGATGCTGGGGATTCTGAGAGCTTTCGGGTTCGAGATGGTTCGAGCATGAATTTGACAATTTGAGGTCTTGCTTGCCTTATAGACGCGCAGACATCACGTGCCGTACTCTGACCCTGGAAGCTACCCAAGCCCTTAGCCCCGCGACTGCGCGAAACCACGTGCAAGCTTGAGCCGGGACTTGGGATCTAGTTCTCTCGGATGTTTGTTAGGCGCATTGCCGAGGCCACTACGCAGAAGATTCCAGCAAATCGTAGAATTCAGAGAAACCGATAACCCAGCCAGCGATGCGCGCCGTTAGAGCCTCGAGAAACTTCTCCACAGGTCTTCCTGCGCGCGGCTCTCCGTGCCTGGTGGAAGGCGAAGGCCTCGCAGAGTCCTAAACAGCGCTTTGCCTCGAATGAGGCCAGGTTCCTGTTTGTTTTTGCGTATAAAACAACCCCAGTTTTGTTTTTGTGTTGTCCCTCCTTTTCGGTGCAGACCGTTAAATGCGGCCAGACTTTGTTGAGGATGGGAGCGTGGTAGGGCTGGTTTTCCAAGCTATCGTCGAAAGGCTCCTTCCTGGCTTCTTCTGGGGAAAGGCTGGAATCGACAGAACCCGCCCCTGCACGGCCGCTGGATGAGGAATACATCAAGGACTTCAACTCACCTCAAAGCAAGGCTTCAAGCACCCTCACTGGGAAATCATGTTGAGCAATCGTGTTATCATGTAAAGGTAAAAGAGTGCTGCCGCTCAAGATGTCCATCCTGGTGAGGACTTGAAATTCAATCAAGCGCTACCCAAAGCATTGCAAGAAGTAGATCTGCCGCAGTCGTACCCAGAACAAGTGGAGAGTATATGCTGGAAAGGTGAATGAGACGTCCAAGCGCCGAAAGGGCAGTGCCGGCAATATACCTGCAACTCAGACCAAAAGCCGCCGCAACAAATTTAGTAGGGATGCTTGTGATGACATTCTGTCACCCCATCTCCTAATTACGACAATGTGCATCATCAAAAACGTATAACATGTCAGGCTTAGTGCTGGTGCGACTGCTGCCTTTCAAAGACTTCATGTCTGTGTGGCAAAGAAGGGAAACGAGTTTCGGACGCCGCCCCCCCCACCCACCAAACTCCCAACAGACACCCACTATCCAAGTATCGACGATGCACGAACCAAGTATCAGTGAGAACCAGATACCAAGTATCAACGCTGCCCAGAGCCCAGTATCCGAATATCAATGATGATGCGGTTGGCATTGCGTGCCTAATTCCTTTGACACCAAGCAAACAACCTGTCGTATTTAGCTGCCGCTTTGAGGGAGTTTCATGTGCAGCTAGGGCCTGGATCATGTTTTCTGCTTTATAGGCCCAAGACCCAACAGCACATGCTTACAATGACACATCTGCAGCAAAGCTGCAACTTCGTTCTTCACGTCGCACAACATAAGAACCCAGGGTTTCATCAATAAAATCCCGAAGAGGAACGATAACCCCATTCGAAGCAAAGTGCTGTTCAAAGACCAATACCTTCTTGTTCCTTCTTTTGGCTCCCCCAATCCGTGCCCTCCTCTCTCTTCAAACTCAAATTGAAAAAGAGAGAGAACTTTTGAACCAACTATCGGTGGGTTGTTGGCTTCACTTGTTGAATGCTTTGGTTTATGGTTTGATTTCGTATGGTTCAGAAACTCATCCCCAAAAATCTCCCAAAACCAATGGTTAAATGAAAGCTGTCTCCCAAAATGCAGGCCCCAAAAACAAAGGAACACCCAAACGACCGACTCAACAATGTCTATAGTCTATGGTGTCCGCGCTGGTCTTTGTTCGCCCTTCAACGTTTCAGGTCACGGTCACCTGGCTTTCCAATGAGACCCGCAATCGGCCCGATTTGCCGGTATAGCACGCAAGTAATGATAAACAACCTTTTTCTGAGTTGCTCTCATGCGGCCGGAACATCAGGCTTCCTGTGCGTGCTTCCAAACAAGCGCAAGCCTTTTGCTTAGCATAGATATCCATGTGCTGCCCGAAGCCGGAAGCATGATGTTTCGCAGCTGCATGGTGCAGGCTTGCACATATTAGCTTTTGTGGAATGCTGCTTCGTGCCCCTCGTTGTCAAGTCAGAGTTCCGGAGACCCGCAGACTTGCTTGATTGGTTTTCTGTTCTGAGGCTTCGGGTTCCGGATATTGTTAGTTTGTGCCAGGCCGATGCGAATGCCATGGCCTCTTCGTTGGTGCGCTTGGGAGCGGGGTACGAGGTTTCGGAATCCTTGGGACTCAAAGCTACGGATCAGATGTCTCAAGTCAGCAGGACCAAGGCAGGTCAACTGTGCCCACTTCAGCCGTAACCTGGAGAACTGACAAGTTGCTGTTGGAGTCGAGGCTTTTCCATCAGCCTGTCGAACCAGCTTCCCGAAACCTTACTACTTGCGAAGTTCAGGTACTTATGCGCTTCTTCAGCGCATGGTGTCAGAAGGTTGCCAGTCGACAGGAGAAGCTTCTCAGGCGCAGCAGTAAGGACGAGTCTTCAGCTGTTTCCGAAATTTCCGAGCTTGGCCAAGTAGTTTTTGATGTTTGCCAATGTTTGCTTTCAGGCTGCAGGGTTTGTTCAGTTGGCACTTCACCCAAGCTCTCGACACCCGTGCCCTGCATGGACCTTCGCGGGGTCTTAGAGCAAAGTTGTCCCAGCTATGTGCAAAGATCCTTCATGCCATGCCCCGGACATCCTTTTCACATGTGAGCTGGAAGGCGGGTTGTGAGTGCTTGGGCGGCTTACGCGGCACACAACAGCACGGAACTTTCCAGAGCAGGAGGACTCTTTAGAAGTGATGTTGAGTAGGATCATGTTTCAAGCCCGACCGTTTGGAACCCATTCAAATCCAAAGCTCCGCCACAAAGAGCTTGTCGATGTCTATAGCTCAACTTGTTGGACTGGAGTGCTGGGTATGCTGGTGGCTCAATCACACTCACAGCTTGGGCATGCAAGCAGCCGAAGGACTCAGATGCCAGATTTCAGCAAACACGATTGGCCTGTCAGCCCTCCTAAACATCTGGCCTGAATCAACAACGCTCGGGAGGAGCGGCAAATGCACCAGCCGCCAGACATCCAACCCCAAGCTCTGGGAGCCTTGGGGTATAGCTGACTGAATGGTTCGAGCTATTCTTGCTCACTTTCAGACTTTGAGGTCGTTCGAGCTTGCCAGAAGAGAGCTGGCATTGATTGGAGTCCGGGTTTTCAACACAGGTTGGCATTCGTTGGCAGCTGACCGTACCTGCATCACGCACACGCAAGCCTCAGAAACTTGAGCCGGAAGAAGCCGCAGGAGTAGTTCGGGAGCTGCCGCAGCGGCGTGGGATCGCTTCCACGATGCTACTTTCTTGCAGCATCTCTAGATCTTCGAGGTTTCAGATTCAGGAGCTTGGAGCAGCAGACGGGTACCGTCTGAGTTCGTGCATTTGGTAGCAGTTCAGAAGTTCAGAGTTTCGTTCCGCCACCTCCAACCTGCCCTTGCGCCCATGCACACCCACTGAGATGGACCTGGACAGCGAGCCTGAACTGTAAATGCACGCTGCGGGTCGCCTGCGACAAGAAAACGGACTCTCGAGCTGCAGTCCTGCCTTGCACGAAAGTTAGGGAATGAAGGCAAGCGAAGCTTAAGTAAGCCTTTTTGACTTGGCTCGCATGGTCCTCAAGGAAGTTGAATTGAAGCAAGCATGAACTGAAGTTATTCGACGCATTCGAGCCAGCGCTGCCGGACTACGTTGGGCTGCAAGATTCCTTAAACCCTGAACACTAAACCCTAAGCCGAGGGTTTAGACAGTGAGGCATTTGACTTGTCAATGATTCTCGCGCAGCGGCAGGACGTATCATGTTCGAGAAATAGGCATTATTGATTGGCAGCTCTTACCTGATATCGCAGGATGGATTTATGGCATGTCTGGCTGGGGAGGTTTGGGGTTTGAATGAGCTTCGGGTTCAGAAAAGGCGCGCAGTGCGCTTGTTTTTGAAAGAACCCCGCTTACATGGTTCATGCAAAGCTGCAAAGGCTGCAAAGGCACCCGCCACCAGCGTTCTGCGTGGCAGATGCTATATATGTCACTGACTGCACGTGTGCGAGCATGGATGCTTTTGCGGATGCGTGCGCGTCCGCGTGCGAGTGCGCGTGCGCGTGCGCGTGCGCGCTTGCTCTGAGGTGGTCGGATGGTTGGATTAGGCTGGTCGATAGCCGAAAGTTGGTTACCAGGGATACGTTTCGTTAACCACTCATTATCCCATTTATCCGGCACGAAAGGCAGCTCAGCTTGCCCCGTTTGCGTAACCATTACCATTCGTACAACTGGATTGTAGGAGATTGGTGGGGCCGGGCCTCGCGGTTGACCGTGTTGGAGTGCCTTCCAGCGACCTGGGGACGGTTAGTGTGAACCTCTTTCTTGGCAGCGCCCGTTGGGGATGGTGCTCATGGCAAGCCTTTTTTGGTGACTTGGTGAGCCCTCTGGGATGACTTCCATGGCCCGTCCTAGATCGAGAGCGCCCGAACGGGCCGGACACACACGACCCAGAACCAGCGAGGTTGTGCGAGACTTCATGGTGAGTGAGCTGAGCTTGGTCCGCCCTTCGACGTATCCTGGTCCTACAGTATGCGGTACTGCAATGCTTTAGTGCGGTGTGGTGGGCGTTTGCGTGGTGGGCGGTGTGACATGTGTGGTGTGTGCGCGGTGTGCGTGGCCGAGTGACTACCATATATCTGTCCATACATGAAACCCGTTTAGCGACGATGCAGAACCGCCTGGACGAAGAAAGCCACAAATACGACGATTCTCTTCTTTTCTCATGCGTGCACGCATGATTACCATAGGTTTTGTCCAGACACGAAGCCCTTCTAGCAACGATCAACAATCCATTAGGGTTTAGGGTTTAGGGGTTTAGGAGTTTAGGGGTTAGGCTTTAGGGTTTACCCCTGCAACCGTCCTGGGATCCCGGCTTTGTTCTTTTCTACTTCAACACCATCTTACAGAAAACGAGTTTACAGTCCTTGTTGCCAGCCTTGGGTGCTCGTGACCATTTTTTCAACGCGCAAGCCGCTGGTCGGCCGTCAGCATCGACGCTTTTCAGAGCAGTGACTAGGAAAGCATGACAAAAAACACTCTCTGAATGGGAATTATGTCATGGTCCGCAGAGGAGGAGAGCAACACGGTATCATCCGCGTATTTGAGATCCCACAGTGGAGAAGGTGTATAGAATACCCCTGATATTTCCCCAAATTGCTCCGCATACTTTGATTCCACATCATGAAAAAGATGAGTGAGCACAAACGAAAATAAGAGAGGGGAGAGTGGGCACCGTTGGCGGAGCCCCTTGGTCTGGTGGTGTATTTCCGAGGTAACTCCAGAATCTCGTACTGCAAAAGAGGGGTCTCGATATAATGCCATAATCACCTCGATCATCTCCTCAGGTACCCCCGTGACAGTTAAGGCTGACCTGGTTGCAGTAAAGTGACAGAATCAAAGGCCTTTTCCCAATCGAGAAAGCGAGCATGGAAGGAAGAAGTCAATACTTCGATAAGACGCCAAAAGACGTGAATTGGCTGGCAGGCAGACTGATTTTTACGAAATCCGAACTGAGTAGGCCAGATGCAGGAGACGCCTAAGGACGTGAATTTTCTGGGAGGTAGACTGATTTTGTCGAAATCCGAACTGAGTAGGCCAGACGCGGGAGTCAAGATAATGTTCAAGTCGAGTCTGAATCATTGAGGCAAAGATCTTATAGGAGATGTTAGTGAGAGAGATTGGGCGGTAATTACCCATTAGTCTGGTATTTTTGGCATGGTTTTTAACAATCATGACGACTTCCGACATCATCCAGGAGTCCGGTACGGTAGCAGTGTCTAAACATTGGTTGTAATGTTCGAGCATGTTTGTAGAGCTCACTGACCAATCCGTTAGGGCCTGGCGCTTTGGATTTTTTAAGTTAGCGGAGGGCAGCATTTAAGTTTTGAACGGTAAAGGGAGATTCAACAAGATTCTTTTTGTCTTTCCTAGCACTCTTTTTGATCAGTTTACTTACGCGCTGTCTTAATCGAGGAGACGTCAGTGTAAGTGGTACGCTGGAATCGCTCTATAAGGTCCAGAGTAGGTTTAGATATCCAAGGTTTCTTGGCGCTAATGGGAATCTCATGAATAAGGGGGAGAGCGGAGGTCAGGGTTTTGGTGAGAACAGCGTCCTGTTCCTATACCCATCCCCAGCTGGTTGCCCTAGCACAGCAGTATTTTGCCGCCCTACGCTGCGCCTTCCATGTCCTCCTATTGAGTGTCCCTGCGCATCAGGGGGTCCCAGGTAACGAAACAGCAGACCGCTTGCAAAAAAGGGGTTAAGGAAACCGTCGATTCTCCTTCTGCCCTACAGCTTCTCTTTCCCCTCCGGATATTACTTTTAAGAATGAAGTGTGGACCTCCAAAACGGTGGGAAGGGAGCTCCCTAAAAGGAGATTTTTGGCATAGGTAGAGTCTGTGTAAAGGCCCTGGGAGAAAGCCGGAATAATAAAGAAGAAAATCAAATAGCTCAATTAGAGCTTTAAGTTCTCCCGTGTTATTAGAGCCTGGGATCGGTCCTTCAACTGCAAAAGGATTAGATGCAACAGGGCCAAGCCCAAGACGAAGAAGGGGGAGGGTGTTGGTCAACGTTCACCAGGGTAACAGCAAAACCCCATCCGGCGGGGTTATCAAACAGGAGACTGTAGAAACTGTTGGTTTCCTTTAGCAGAGCAGTTTCAACCGCGTCTGAGAACTGGGCCAGATCGGAGTAATCTTTTTTGGGGGGCGTCGAGGAAGTAACAGAGGGGTAAAACTGAGTTTTAATCCCACATGAGAGAGGTAAGTGTCTGGTGTTGATAAGCTGCTGGAAGGTGCCATATATTGTAAGTACCTCTCGGAGCTGGGGTGCTGCCGCGTAATCTAAGGCAGTCCAATCGCTTACGGAGGTGCCGCGCAGAAGATGATCTTCGCAGCTCATTTCTTTATAGGTACAACGTTTGGAGAATGGTAATTGAGCAAAGGTTTGAGGAAGCCTAAGAGAATGTGCCTGCAGAGTATCATAAAGATAAATGGCATTGTCTCTTGTTTCATCTTGTATGGATTGCCTTTGTCCAATGACAGCGGGCCCAATATGGGTTTCGTCCTCATCCACGTCAGTGGCGAGCCTGGAGTTCAAATCCCCTGCTAAAACCAAATGGTCCAAGTTAGGATGAGTAACCATGAGTTCATTTAAATCGGTCCAAAACGAGGACTTGCGCTGGCGATCTGATCCGCGTCGTCCACCTGGCTGGGAGCATACACTATACACATTAAAGAAGAGTGATCTTATGGGGTCTAGTGTTCAAAGTGACTTCACATGTTGACGCATTTTAGGGGAAACAAAAACCCTGCGCCATGATATCGTGCCTGGGGATGGCCCGATTGGAGAATTCCCAGCCGTTCTTAGTAAAAGAGTGCGAGGAGGTGGCCCTAGTTTCCTGGGCCATAATAATGTCAATGCCTTGTTGGCGAGCGAACAGAATTAACTGGTCATATTTAGATACTTCCTGTAAACCCTCTACATTCCACGTAGCTAGTTTCACATGTGTTCCAGTTGGTAGGGGAAAGGAGAAGTTAGAACTGATGTCACGGGATTGGTGTTGCCATGTCTTGAGGAATGGGTCCTACAGGTTGAGCTGCTTAAGGAGACGCATGGTGTACGTCGGTTTTGGGTAAGGCGGGGGTAAAGGATGGGTTCCGCCGGGTACCCTTCGGCTGGCATCCTTACATCTGCTTTTCCACATACGAAAATCCCTTCTACCTTGAGCTCTTTCAGTCCTAGCGGTTTCAGTGCGTCTATCTATGGCTGCTTCGGAGCGTACTCCTCGTGATCTTCCCCGGTGGGCTTCGCAGTGTTGGCAGCCGCGGTGGCAATCCTTAGTAACCAAGGCACCTAAGTGGTTCATATCGTAAGTGTTGTTGGCACCTCTTCCAGAGGTATGAGACTGTCATAATACTGGTAGAGATGCCAGCGGCTTCCCGGCCCGCCTCCCTTGGAGGCCACGTCCCGTATAGAATAGGGGAGACAGCTCTGGTGGTTTCCACCTCAAAAGTCTGTGGACATGTCTTTGGAGTAAAAGGAGTAGATCTAAAGACTCGCATGCCGTTGGGCAGAAAAAATTAAAAAAGGATTGTTTCCAGAGATATGTATGGGGGCGCGGAGTATGTGAGTAATACCATATATCATTCCCGTTCAGAGCGTGTAATAGTGGTTTTGCTTTCCTACAAAACCGCTAACCAAGAAGCATCGGTGCGTCAGGCCTGCAAAACTCCGGTGGGGATGTGAAAGAAGGTGGGTCAAACAGAAAAGGTGTCGCTGGTGTGCTTGTGTCCGAGGAAGGAACCCACTAAACCAAAAAAGGAGCCCCCTCTTAGTGGGGGGGAGCGGAACCACTATTACAAGAGGAAGGGGAAGGGGCTAACTGTGTTGTGTTCCCACACTCACAAGGCAGGCGTGGTAAAGCCGGTGCGGCGTAAGCTGCGCCGCTCTGC